GAGAAAGGCAATGGAAAACAAAACCAAAAAAGAAAGAAAAATACTTTAAATTTTTTTTTAGTCATGATAATAATTCAATTATTTTCTCATTTCTAGTCTGACTGATTATCAATTGATATTTACACCTAACAAATTATTTATTTTCACCTAAAAAATTATGTATTTATATAATTTTCAACTATTATATTCACCTAACTATTTGATTATTTAACTTAAACTCTTATTATACATATATTATATATATACTCTGTAAAAATACCTAAGTTCAGCCAGCACTTGGCGGTGAAATAAATCTAATCTAAAGACTTTTGCTCGGCTACAAACAACAGACTAGAACTCCATAGTTGTACGTAGTGGCGCTAGCCGTGCTACAGTTTTGCATTTTATACAATCCCTTATGGAACATAATTGCAGTGTGCTTTAGCTTAAGTGTTTATATTTAAATTGAATAATTCAATGCATAAAAGTTGATATGTAACATTCGATTCGATTCGATTTGAAAATTGGTGATTTGATAATTAATCAAGCAAAAATATGATCAAAAATCAAGGGGGTAATTGTTGTTTTTTTTAAATCAAGGGGGTAATTTTGGAGCCACTTTTCCGGGGGTAATATGGGCCCTATGGACCCACGTCAGAATCTATGCATATGTATTGGGGAGTTTTTGGTACGATAAAACCGAATCTGACGTTAATTTTGCGATACGGCCAACATTTTTCATACAAAAATCTGAAAAAAATCACCAAAAATCATCAAAAATGTCGATTTTTTTTGGGACCCATACTTTTATGGTATCGTAACTTTTTAAGAAATTAGAATACTTTCAAATATCACCAAAATGGGCCGCCGAAGAATTTACCAAATGGATTTGTAGCGCCTGGGCTTTTCAATTGAACAAAATAAAGGTCCATACCGTGTTTTTAGGCCCCGATCCCGACCTGATGTTAAAACCGGCCTGGAATGTTGAACAATGAATGATTTCCAAACATCGATTTGATCTGATGTGGTGAGACGATGTAAAAGTAAAGAATATATTTACGTAGTATTTGTTCTTCTTTTCCATCGGAAGCTTTGTAATAATATAAAATCATTGCCAGTATTGTATTTCAAATAAATAAAAAGTAAATATTGATAAAGATTTTTGGTTTTATTTAAACGACGGAATTTAATAAAACCACACATATTTCAAGCTTTCCAACAAAATAAACAAAACCCATGTGTACATAAAATATGTGCAGTTCCTTCAATACACAAAAAAAACCTTCAATTAAAAAAAACCGAAAATATTGAATAAATGTGTAATATTCTGTCTTTCTGTTGCCGATTTAGTATAAAAAGTTGTTAAATTTTCAATCATACTCATTAGTCTGTTTTAACTTTACTCGAAACATTCGATTAAACTAAAATGAAATCGACTATTTTCGCAGTTTTTACGGTTCTCGTTGTTGTAATTGGCGTTGGATTAGCTGATCAACTCGATGGAAGTGCAACTATAACCGATCCAGTTTCGACTTTTCTCAATCCACTTCCTTTGATCAATTTCTTTGGTGAAGGCATCAATGGTTTTCTATCTAGTTTAACCGGCACAAACGCAGTTAGCGAAACAAATCCGCCTATCCAAACCAGCGATGTTAAATTCCCAGATGACAGCAATCAAATTGCTCAACCTGCCTGAAGGCAACTGGTGGCATCAAATACACACGATGGAAAAACACTCACATCATAAATTTCACATAAATTGTGAATTGTATTAAAAGAATGTCAAATAATAAAAGTGTGCTTTTACAAATCTAAGAATTTTCTATTTATTTTATTTTTTTTTATTTTTTGGTGTTAAATATCAATTTGCATAGAGCACAAATCTACATCGTCTTCATCTTCGCCTTCCCAACAATCTCTCGATCCATCACACACTCTGCTCAACTCAATACATTCGCCATTTTTGCACGCAAATTCTCCGCTCAAACAACGCGAATTCTCCGTTTCTTCTACAAGGGAAAATAACATAAATGAGCCAAATCAACAAAATTGACACTGTAAATTATCACAAGCTTGAAATGATAACCATATGAATTTGCGATTTCGGTTTGTTTCGATTGTACCGAAACTTGAATGGACTCTTGTGCTGTCCCGGCATCGTTCGTTGCAGTGCAAATATATGTTCCGCTTTCATTAACACTGATATTTGATATTTCAATCGCAACAATACTGGTTTCCGACTTAACATTGTGATGTCCATTGTGTGTCGTCCATTGTACAGTTGGTGATGGAATACCCTCAGCTGAACAAATCAACATCAATTGGTCGCCTTCGCTAAGATTCAAAAACCGCGCATTTGGTGAAATAGTCAACAAAGGTGGCAAAAGAATAAATGGCATCGAAGAAGACATTTCCGGTGTAATTTTCATTGACATTTCGGTGCTCGATGGAGGCAATTCAGAGGTTTGGTTACCTCGGATTTCAGTTTGAGATTCAGTCCGAACTGAAATTGGAGTCTCAGTCCAAACCGCTTCAATTTTGACTTGACCTTCAGTTGCACCACTCGTTCTGAATACTACCCGTTTATCACTTCCCATTTCAGTAATTTCCCCAAATTCATCGGCCGCAACAATAACGTCGACCCCATGCGAAATGGTTTTTCCATCGTCCGACGTCGACTCACAAACATAGTGACCGGTATCTTCGATGCTGGCGTTTTGTATGATGAGAATCCCACCTCTGACAATAATATGCGATGGTAATGATGATGTGTCATTCTTACTCCAAGCGTATGAAGCATTTGTGGTGACTAAATTGAAACAAGCCAAAGCGATAATTTCGCCAGGATAAGCAGTGGAATGTGTCGATTGAATGGTGATTTCCTTATTTGAAGATGGCTCACGACCGGTTAAAAGCGACAGGATTTTTGAAGGATCTAAAAATTATAAAATGATCAGTGTGTGCGGAGAAGTTTCTTTAGAGAAGTTGAAATAAATGTACCAACGTACCTCTAACCGAAATCGAAATTCTCCGTTGAAACTGTTCCGATGTTTCAGATTGACATACATAAATGCCGCTGTCGGTGAATTGAATGTTTTTTATCGTTAAAATTCCATCTTCTT